CTTCTACTGAATGTATAACTAACAACTGAACCTTCTACTGAATGTATCTACAAAATGTATAACTAACAACTGAACCTTCTACTGAATGTATAACTAACAACTGAACCTTTTACTGAATGTATAACTAACAACTGAAACTTCTACTGAATGTATAACTAACAACTACCTTCTACTGAATGTACTAACAACTACTGAATGTACAAACTGAACTTCTGAACCTTTACTACTGAATGTATATAACTAACTAACCTTCTACTGAATGTATTACTAACAACTGAACCTTCTACAAAATGTATAACTAACAACTGAACCTTCTACTGAATGTATAACTAACAACTGAACCTCCTACTGAATGTATAACTAACAACTGATTCTTTTTCCTGAATGTATAACTAACAACTGAACCTTCTACAGAATGTATAACTAACAACTGTTTCTTTTCCTGAATGTATAACTAACAACTGAACCTCCTACTGAATGTATAACTAACAACTGAACCTCCTACTGAATGTATTACTAACAACTGAACCTTCTACAAAATGTATAACTAACAACTGAACCTTCTACTGAATGTATAACTAACAACTGAACCTTCTACTGAATGTATAACTAACAACTGAACCTTCTACTTAATGTATTACTAACAACTGAACCTTCTACTGAATGTATAACTAACAACTGAATCTTTTCCTGAATGTATTACTAACAACTGAAACTTCTACAAAATGTATAACTAACAACTGAACCTTCTACTGAATGTATAACTAACAACTGAACCTTCTACTGAATGTATAACTAACAACTGAACCTTCTACAAAATGTATAACTAACAACTGAACCTTCTACTGAATGTATAACTAACAACTGAACCTTCTACTGAATGTATAACTAACAACTGAACCTCCTACTGAATGTATTACTAACAACTGAACCTTCTACAAAATGTATAACTAACAACTGAACCTTCTACTGAATGTATAACTAACAACTGAATCTTTTCCTGAATGTATTACTAACAACTGAACCTTCTACAAAATGTATAACTAACAACTGAACCTTCTACTGAATGTATAACTAACAACTGAACCTTCTACTGAATGTATAACTAACAACTGAACCTCCTACTGAATGTATAACTAACAACTGAACCTTCTACTGAATGTATAACTAACAACTGATTCTTTTCCTGAATGTATAACTAACAACTGAACCTTCTACAGAATGTATAACGAACAACTGTTTCTTTTCCTGAATGTATAACTAACAACTGATTCTTTTCCTGAATGTATAACTATTAACTGAACCTTCTACTGAATGTATTACTAACAACTGAACCTTCTACTGAATGTATAACTAACAACTGAACCTACTACTGAATGTATAACAAAAACTGAACCTTCTACAGAATGTATAACGAACAACTGATTCTTTTCCTGAATGTATAACGAACAACAGAATCTTCTTCAGAATCTATAACTAACAATTGAATCATCTCCTGACTAACTAACAGCTGAATTTTCACCTGAATCAATAGCTATCTGAAGCATCCACTAACTACTCCGCACCAATAACAACATTTTGCAACCTTCAAAGCAAATGGCTTTTTTTTCTCTAATGATGCCTTGTTCTGCAATGTGTAAACATAACTCAGCTTTGGGCACATTATTTTTGGGATTATTGAATCATGTGAAAAACAATGATGGCAAAAATAACCAGAGCCCAGAGGAACTTGGCAGCATGGCATCCACGCAGGATACGGAGGCAGGCCACACATGGCCGTCTATTGTAGCTATGGTGAAACACGACTTCTGCTGAAGTGCTCCACCCCCACGTGCCCATGGGCACTTGATCTGCTGTTTCATTCATTATAGACCCTGTTGACCCTGGATATTGAGTGCTGGAATGCCTACATGAGGATTGTGCAAGGAGTCACTGAAATGTCCCACTGGGGTTATTTAGAGAATGTGTGAGTAATTTCACAACCATATCTTGAATTAGCTTTTGGTATGTTAAGGTATTCCATAGCAAGGGTGATGAAACTTCCAGCTGATCAAATATAAGTTCTCCTAAGAGACAGTATTCTACAATGTCAAAACTATATCATTTAATTGTCAGATTTGCTTTTAGAAAAGATAAATTCTGGTAATTAAAATACATTGTGGATTAGATAGAAATAAAAGGTTTGTACAATATTACTTCCAGGACTTGATAATGTAAATCAGAAATGTCATTTCAGAGCAGTTAAGAAAACAAACAAATACATGCACAATAAAAGCCTAAGAAATTCCAGTGCACACAGAAGTTCCTGTGCTTGTCACTGGCAAAATCACTCAATTTTAGTTCCCTAAAGCTTCTTGTATGATACTCCTCCAGTATAATATTAGGGTTCCAGTATGATATGCCTCCAACATGATATTCTTCTAGTATGATATGCCTCCAACATGATATTCTTCCAGTATGATATGCCTCCAACATGATATTCTTCTAGTATGATATGCCTGCAATATATACTGAACCACAAAAGAAACGTCGCTTTGCAAAACCAAATGCACAATTTTGTTCTTGCAAGGTGGTGTTTTTATTATGTTTGTACCGTTTTCTTAACATGCTTTTCAGTCCAAATTGACAGTTATTACCAACATCAGTGTGTTTTCTTTGAAAACGCATATCGATCAAACGCACCGAAAAAGGCAGACATGGTAAAATGAAAATGCACGTGCATGTCGTGACAACCCTACCAATGAAAGCTGGTCCCAAGCTCACCTGAAATCATTTTTGTTTTCACACAACCACCATGCCACGTCTTATGAGAGATCAGAGGAACCAATTCGTGGGACGATTGTAAGTTGTCCAGACTGCATGGAGGGTAGACAATCATTTTAATGTTCATGTTAGGACAGCAGGGGTTGTATCAGGTCACTAAGAGCATTTAAGACCGTTAACGCAGTGGGCGACCTTCAGTAACATCCCAACATCAAGAATGACAGGCTGTGCGCAACCATCTAACCATCTGCAGGATCGCTTCCCCAGAGTGACAGAAACAGCACGCCAGACCATTTCTGACTCAAAACAGACCTATCAGTACCGATACAATGTGTCGATGTTTGCGCAGATGAAACCTCTGCTGTCACAGATCATATCGTAGTCCTGTCCTCACCGGTCATAACCGCCAAAACCGACCAAAATGGGCAACTCAGCATCGAAATTGAGGTTATCGACAATGGATAACTGTGTTGTTATCTTATGAAAGCCAATATTGTGTTTCGACAGTCGATGGCAGAGTAAGAGTATGGCGAGGGTGTGGTGAAATGTTTTCCAATAAGTGTATTGTTGAAAGAGACTCGTAGGGTCGTCCAAGCATCATAGTGTGAGGTGCAATCGGTCTGAACCAGTTAGTTGACACCGTGGTGTTCAAGAATCTTGGTCCAGGAAGAGGAAATGACGTGACAGCTGCTCGTTATATTGAATAAGTCATAAGACCCCACGTTGTACCACATTTTAGAAGTTACAGAAATCACATCTTTCATTAAGACAACGGACGTGCCCACACTGCCAGAGCAACATTGGACTTCCTAAGACAACATGGCATCCAAACCCTACAATAGCCTGCACTCCGAATTTAAGTCCAGTAGAACACCTTTGGGATGAAATTCAAAGAAGACTGAATGGCCTGCAGCCAAAGCCGACAACTGCGGCTGGACTCGGTCAGGTATTTTGCAGAGTATGGACCCAAGTGCCTATGGCCTTCATCGACCGGTTAATTCATTCCATGTACAGATGATGCAACGATTTCATCGATGCCCATAGCGGCCACACACAATACTGACTTTGGAGTATCTTAATGGTACCATTTTTGGTGATTTGTTTGTGTGAACTCTAAATGTGATTCCCAAAAATGTGTTAACCATAATTGTCAAGTTTTAACTCAGTCCTCCTATTTGAATGTTAATTAGAGTGAATTAGAGTGTGTGCTTTAAGAAACCCCTATCAGTGCGACATTTCTTTTGTGGTTCAGTATATTATGGTGACAGCATGATAGACTTCAAGTACAATATGCCACCAGCATGATAGACTTCAAGTACAATATGCCACCAGCATGATAGACTTCAAGTACAATATGCCACCAGCATGATAGACTTCAAGTACAATATGCCACCAGCATGATAGACTTCAAGTACAATATGCCACCAGCATGATAGACTTCAAGTACAATATGCAGTATGATAGACTTCATAATAACAATATGCCACCAGCATGATAGACTTCAAGTACAATATGCCACCAGCATGATAGACTTTAAAGTACAATATGCCACCAGCATGATAGACTTGATATATGCCACCAGTTAGACTTCAAATTACAATATGCCACCAGCATGATAGACTTCAAGTACAATATGCCACCAGCATGATAGACTTCAAGTACAATATGCCACCAGTATGATAGACTTCAAGTACAATAGACTTCATAGACTTCAAGTGATATGCCACCAGCATGATAGACTTCAAGTACAATATGCCACCAGTATGATAGACTTCAAGTACAATATGCCACAAGTATGATAGACTTCAAGTATGAAATGCCAGACTTCAAGTATGCCACCAGTATGATAGACTTCAAGTATGAAATGCCACCAGTATGATAGACTTCAAGTACAATATGCCACCAGTATGATAGACTTCAAGTATGAAATGCCACCAGTATGATAGACTTCAAGTACAATATGCCACCAGTATGATAGACTTCAAGTATTAAATGCCACCAGTATGATAGACTTCAAGTACAATATGCCACCAGTATGATAGACTTCAAGTATGAAATGACACCAGTATGACAGACTTCAAGTACAACATGCCACCAGTATGATAGACTTCAAGTACAATATGCCAACGGTATGACAGACTTCAAATATGATACCATAGCACATAATAATTCTGACATGATTTCTTAGTTAATCAAAAATGTTTGTGAACAGATTGACATTGAAACACGATACTTACAGTTTTGTTCGGCCAGTTATATCGTTCAAATACTTCTTCATAATTTTCTGGTGCTCCGTCAGTTACCAGCATGATGGCCTTATTACACAGTGTCCTCCTTAAATCTAGTTCAACCTGGAAATTAAACAACGGTCATAAAACAACAATATATATAATCGACAACAATTTTCAAATAATGGTCATCAAGATTGTTATCCAATAAATCTGAACACTAAGGCCTGAGCCATTACACTAACAGCAGTCATTGGAAGCTCCATATTTACCTTCATGTAGCTCTAAGTTTCTTTTACCAATCAGACATATGCAATGAGGGATGATATAGCTCAAACTAGGGTGTCTAAAATTATGTTTGCAGGATATATTTTCTCAGGGAAATACAGGGGCTATCTATGTAGAATCTGAATTTGGATGGACCGTCCAGGCATCTATACTTCAGGCTCATACAGCAGAATGACTTGTATGTTGAGTCTCAACACAAAGGTGACCAATGTGAAGGTTTTTCAAAATGGCTGCAATGGCAGCCATATTGAGAGACGGGGCGTCATACCACTTAAACCAAATAGGGCATCACCTTTAGTGGCAACACATATCTGGAGTTTCAGCTTCATTGGTCCAGTAATTTCTGAGGAGAAGATGATGTTAATCACAGATGATGGGACCCTGATATAAGCTCACTTGACTTTGAGTCAGGTGTACTGAAAATGAACGGCTTATACTCACGGTTTCAAACAATGTGAAAGCTTCAACAAGTGCGTTTTCAAAGTTGGCCATTTTTTCTGTGTTGACATTTTCTAACTCTGCTTGCATCCTCCTCCTGTTGTCCACACTGGCCTGCATCATGGTGCGGTTGAAACACTCGTCTACGTACGACACCTCGTCCGAAAACTGGAACAAAACAATGCCCAAAATCTTGAATCAGCATGTTTGTTTGAGATTACTGTCATTACGAGGCCAGCTAATATAACAATCTTGACTTTTGAACATCTGACGGGGAAGAAGGCCGGATTATGCATATACTTTTTTTATTTCTTTAGCTCACAAATATTTGAAGAATACTTCAATCTTTTGTACCAAGTAACAGTCTGGAAATGTTAGAATCTGCTTTCAGCAACAGACACATGTATTAAGAGATGTCTGATGGGATTGGAAGGTCAGGCTTGGTAACTCAGCTGATGCATATCATTATATACCAGTTGAGACTGGAGAGACAACAGACTGCCAATGTATAGATGGATTATTGCTGAGAAGTGTTAAACAACCAACAAACATAGCTTTAGGCAACGCTCCTAGATATGTTCCAGATATCAATGAAGTGATAAGCCAAATGACCATGGTGACTATAAGGCTATCTCAGAACACAGCCTGATACATTTCAGTCAGTTCATATGACCAGGATGATTACAGAAACAAAGATGATTCCAGATGCTACATGTAGAATATTGAAGTAGTTGTAATTGCTGATTGTAAACCAAAAGTCACCGTGTTCTTTAATCTGATTGGTTGAAAAACATGATCGAATGATATTCAATTCCCAGAAATTGCAAGACTATTCACTGCGTATTGACACGTACAAATATGGCAGACAATTGTATTGTTGCGTCGTCAGCAGTGGTGACGTCATTCAAATCATATTGTGACATAAAGTCAGAATGACATCACAAATGAGCAGATCCAGATGCTACCATGGGAGACAGCCGAAACAGCCAGCTGATGACACTTCACTGCTGTACCCGTACTCGATGTCAATGAGTGCAGACAGTAAAACCCATGTGGGCCTTTTGGTTTACTCTTGTGTTTTCAATGTCGATAAACACCATGTGTTGGCGAACACATGATGTTTATCTCCAAAGGGTGTACCTCAAGTTTAGACACCTCTACAACCAGCACAGCGATCTGGGGACCAATTTTAACCCCAACCCCAAAGACAGAAATCTGCATTAAACCAAGCTGTTTCCACAAGCTACCTGTAGAATATTGAAGTAGTCATCATTGCTAAGGGTGTCCAGAATCTTGTCCACAGTCTTCCTGGCAATCTCCATCCTCATGCCCTTCATGCTGCCACTGGCATCCATCAAGATGGCGATGTTCTTCGGAGTAGTAGCTGCCTGGATGTACCTGAAGATACAGAAGTTACACAACCTCATCACACATTTAACACAGTTTTATACACCCAGGTTCACGAAAACTACCTTAGGCCAGACAAATTTTATTTCTCGTTTTACAGATTTTTGTCCTCAGAAAGTCTAAAGGCAGGAGGGAAGAAAAAAGTAATAATTATTCCTTTTAAATACTGAAAATATTTTACTTTTGGCAATTTATGAAGTGTATATGGGGCAAAAAGAATCTAAACAATTTTTTTCTTGTAAGTTTACATTTTTGGCAAATGAATACATTAGAATTATATTTTTTGAGCGGGGAAAATATATTATAATTTTTTCCTTATTCTTAAAAAAAAAAGACCGGCAGATCTATAAAACAAGAAAATAATTGGTCTGGCCTTAAGTTCAGACATAACTAAAATGCACCACTAATTTTAGCTTGTTGTACCCATGGTTCATTACATCTTTTTGAATAAAAATATATTGTGGCCAGGACAAGTCTAGTGGCACCTTGACTCCTGAGTGTTTCCAGGACTTCTCTCCGCCCCACAACCGCCTCCGTGGTGTAGTGGTTAGAGCGTCCGCCCGGAGAGCGGAAGGTCGCGGATTCGATCCCCGACCGCGTCATACCAAAAGACGTTAAAATATGGTACTTGTTGGTCCCTGCCTGGCTCTCGGTATTAATGGGTACAACAAGGACTGATCGGCTCAGAGTAAGTATAATGTGTCTGAGTGGGGTATTCATGCTTCACTGCGGCATGGTATCTCAGTGGTCTAGAACTATAAACCAGCTTAAGTCTGGGTTAGTACAAACAGCCGCACATACATACACATGCATGTCGTCATATGAGGGAAATATTCTCAAGCATGACATTAAACCCAATTTCACCTCACCTCACCTCTGTCCGCCCCACAATGAAGCACACATGTGATCTCACCTTAAGCAAGAGAATTTGTTCAAAATAGCCTCAGTTTACCCAGCAGATAATGGATACCCGGTGGTATAAGCTATATGACTATTAACTTTCTAGCGCCTCACAGGCAACTTGGGTTATCCAGGGTAATAATGTCGACATGTTGTATGCGCTTAGAGCATGTCACTATGGTGTCGAGTTCAGTGTCATATAAGTGGCCATATTATTATTAATATTATAAAAGCAGTACATTATATTCATTAGTTCAGTATAAACAATATTGTTCATTATAAACATTGTTTACTGTATTTGAAGGGGCAGTGGGGTAGCCTAGTAGTTAAAGCGTTGGCTCGTCACATTGAAGACCCGGGTTCAATTCCCTACATAGGTACAATGTGTGAAGCCAAAATCTGGTGTTCTCCACCGTGATATTGCTGGAATATTGCTAAAAGTGGCATAAAACTTCACTCACTCACTACTGTATTTGAAAGAGTTAAGTCCCTTCCAGGTGGGCTAGTCTCCTCTGGTTCAGCAATACTGTGCTAGAGACTTTTACTATTTTACTGTAGCAGGTCTCAGGGTTATACCCTCTTCCACTGAGCCATCCCTACAACATTTGATGGAACATTTTTCATGCCACCTTCCCTTTCCCATAATAAGGGCATCATTTATTTAATGTGTTTCACGTAGCCACCAAATTCTGAACATGGGTCGGTTGGTCGGTCGCATTTTTTGGACTTGAGGCAGCGACTGATTATAAGATAAACATTTTATATGACGAGGCGGTACAGTTTAGGTTCAAGTCTACGGTTTTGGAATGAAGAAAAAAAAGGGTTTTTTTTTTGGGGGGGGGGGTCGGCAATAAAATTAGAAGGGTCAGTCGGGTGATGAGAAACACAAAAAATAAAATACTGCCCTAAATGCCAGTCCACCAGTAATGTTCTAAGTATGAAATTATTTCAATCAAAATCGGACAATCTAAAATGTGCCACCAATTTGGGAAAGGTAACAATGCTGATTCCAAACTCACCAGTTTCTAACTCTGCAGTCAAACATGTCTACTTTGTCAGGGTCCCTCGGCCAAATTATTCCTGAAAAGAAACACATTTTTTTATTTTACTATAATGGTAAACAGAAGCAACAAAAACATTTCCATTGTGGTAAATAATTCCACAAACAGAAGAATAAAATTGGGATGATTCTGACGTTATAATAAGCTAGTGATTACAATTCACTATCAAATAGTGATGATGCCTTATGTTATATTTGGGATCACACTTTCTCAATACAGTGTATATTCTGGTACTTTTTGTGTTTGAGTCCCATCCGGGATTCGCTATGTGTGTTCAGTCAGGATACCAGTTGTCCTCATGCCATTGTGAGCCATCCACCAGTTTCAGTTATTACATTATCAATTTAACATGAATACTATTCAAAGAAACACTTATCAAAACATATCACAATACAACATTTTTGCTTTTGACGGACCATCAACAGCACATTGATTGAGTTGAGTTTTATATTACCTGGGTATATCCTATATGTTACCTGGTGTACCCTGTATATAGTATATCCTCTAAACTATCTGGGTATATCACATATACTACCTGAGTATATCCCATATATTACCTGAGTACGTGCCACATCCTATATGTTACCTGGTATACCCTGGATATTACTTAGTATATCCTCTAAATTATCTGGGTATATCCCACATACTCCCTGGGTATATCCTATACATTACCTGGTATATCCCATATACTACCTGCATATATCCCATATATCACCCGAGTATATCCCATATATTATGTGATGTTATCCCACATATTACCTGAGTATATCCCATATATTACCTGAGTATATCCCATATATTACCTGAGTATATCCCATATATTACCTGGGTATATCCTATATATTACTTGGTATATCCTGTATACATGTATTACCTAGTATATCCTGTAGAATATCTGTGTATATCCCATGTATTACCTGGTTTATCCTGTAGATTACCTGGTATATCCTTTAGATTACCTGAGTATATCCCACATATTACCTGGGTATATCTCACATATTATCTGGGTATATCCCACATATTACCTGGGTATATCCCACATATTACCTGGGTATATCCCACATATTACCTGGGTATATCCTACATATTACCTGGGTATATCCTAAAGAAGCCATCTGAGCTACAGAAGTACTGCCAGGTGAGAGACGGGTCATCTTTCAAGTTTTCTGTAAACTGTTTTGTCATGTTCTCGCTCCAACTCACACCATTCAATATTTTTACAGCTGAAAAGAATGGAAATGAAAATGTATTAATTGTTTTAAGCACTCTTTATGTGTCAATCAGAAATACTATAACATCATACACCCATGAAGATCTTGGTTAGAATTGGTCTTCAGTAACCCATGCTTGTCGTAAGAGGCGACTAATGGGATCGGTTGGTCAGGCTTGCTGACCTGGTTGACACATGTCATCATATCCCAATTGCGTAGATTGATGCTCATGATTGCTGATCACTGGATTGCCTGGTCCAAACTTGATTATTTACAGACCGCTGCCATATAGCTGGAATATTGCTGAATGCGGTGTAAAACAACAAGCCAACCAACTATAACATCATAGCACAATAGATACAAGTGTTCCATTCATCCCAGGTCAGTTCATACTCACTTTTATCATATATATTAGTGGGTACATGTATGGTGCTGACGGTGAGGTTCACGCTGTTGTAGTTGAAGTCTTCAAACGTGTTGTCAACTTTGAGGTAGTGGATGGTCTGCTTAATCACCTCCTTGGTCTCGTTGCTCAAGTCTCTCACGTTGTCGTCACTCACCAGCTTTTTGGCATTGAAGTACGATATGTCCTGGAAAAGCACAATGATACAAGTTATGTGGCCAATAATCCACAGCATGAACAGCTAGGGCAAGAACAGGTCTCCAGAAGCTCATCCTTGTCGTTAGAGCCTATTAAAATGATCAATCATGTTATTGTGGATCAGGAGATTTACGGGCAACTATGACAAGGCTAGAAACCAGGGCCTAGATTTTCAAAGCTCTCTTAGCGCTAAGATAGTCGTAAGTTCAAAACATTAACATTAATAATAATAATAATGAGAATATTTATAACGTGCCTTCTCCAGGCTAGATATCCTGCTCAAAGCGCACAATCTGATCATTGTTACCCCAGATAACCCAAGCTCCCTGTTAGGCGCTAGAAGGTTAATAGTCTCACAACCTATTTCACCGGGTACCCATTTTCTGCTGGGTGAACAAGCAGTTTTGAACAAACTCACTTGCCTAAGAGAGCTTCGATAATCTTGTCCCTGTGACATAAATACCTACTCAAACTTAATTCAGAGAACTAAGTCAACCATAAGCTTGAGTTTCGGAATAACATTGCTCACTGATGATCAAACACTGAATTGTCTTTGTCAGAGAATTACATCCTCATTCAGGGGACAAGTCCTGAGAACCAATCTCAGAGAGGGTGTATCCAAGACTTAATACACAGTTTAAGCAAACTATTGGCAGCATAATTCTGAGATTAGACAACAACTGTATTGGATGAGTTGAGCAGTATTTAGTATATAACCAGGCATTGATTTCAAGCGTTGGTTGGTCAGAGGCTTTGGTGCACTGACCAACCAGAAAAGAATTATCCTCCCAATGTTTGACATATATTTGGATGTTCTCCTAATGTCCCAGTACCTTTTTTCATACTATGCTATACTGTGCTGTGCTATGCTATGCTATGCTATGCTATGCTATGCTATGCTATGCTATGCTATGCTATGCTATGCTATGCTATGCTATGCTATGCTATATGAGATTCTTGAGAGACATTTAGAAGTTGGTGAATATATAAGACGAGTATATGGATGGCAACTTCTTCTTTATTGCATAACCCAAGTATCTGGGATACTTCTTGCCCCTTCTTCAGGTGACGATGCTATGCTATGCTATGCTATGCTATGCTATGCTATGCTATGCTATGCTATGCTATGCTATGCTATGCTATGCTATGCTATGCTATGCTATGCTATGCTATGCTACAACTCAATTCCAGCATTTCTTCTTGTAGGCACCAGTGTCCAGATGACCTTGAGGCAATGACCTCTCTCTATAACATACCTCCAGGTCTAGCTGCTCAGGTTTCTTGTAGGCACCATATTCCCGATTGGCAGCCTCTGCAGCCTCTACCAGTTTCTGAAACAAGGACAAACAACATTATGACAGATCTGCTGAAACACACCACAATAAAACAGGGATGACAGCTCTGCAGAAACAGACCAACAATATAACAGGATGAGTGAGTGAGACACCGCTTTTAGCAATATTCCAGCTATATCATTTTGGGGAAAGCTGGAAATGGGCTTCACAAATTGTACCCATGTGGGGAATCGAACATGGGTCTTCAGCATGACAAGCGAACACTTTAACCACTAGGCTACCCCACCGTCCCCAAAACAGGGATGTCACTTCTGCAGAAACAGACCAACAATGAAACAGGGATGTCAGTTCTGCAGAAACAGACCAACAATGAAACAGGGATGACAGTTCTGCAGAAACAGACCAACAATAAAACAGGGATGAAATTCTGCAGAAACAGACCAACAATGAAACAGGGATGACAGTTCTGCAGAAACAGACCAACAATGAAACAGGGATGACAGTTCTGCAGAAACAGACCAACAATGAAACAGGGATGACAGTTCTGCAGAAACAGACCAACAATAAAACAGGGATGACAGTTCTGCAGAAAGCACAACTAGGACCTTGCTACTCCCAGATTCCAAACATTTCAAGATGTCAGTCTTCAGACAGATTTCCATCTCACTGAGAACAAAGCCTGTACATCTCAAAATATTGGTTAGTGAAGCCTCAGTATCGGCAGACTGACTTGACGACACTGAACTTTGTACTCCAGGAACAAATATTAACAGATGCATCAATAAATGTGTTCAAATAGGCTATACATTATCCTTTACCAAATTAATGATTAAGTTGGTTTGAACTGTACATTTATCTTATATAGTTTAAGGTGGTACTAAAGACTCAAAGCATGCATGTAGGCCTTTGAGTATTTATTTGAGCTATGAACAATGAGTAGGGCTGCGCAATATAACCGGTTTACCGGTATTTACCGGTTCAGACATGAAAACGATACGTATTGTGATATGCTGATGGAAAACCGGTATTTTGACATGCATTCGAAAACTTGGTAACACTTGGAAATCTTCGGATATTTCCGTTTTTTAAATTGTTCCTTTCCTTGTTTCATTTGTGCGAAACATTATTTACATTTATATGGTCATGATTAAAAGTTTATATTAAAGACTAATCAAGCATTGTGATTTTGTTGTGTTTTTGCTTTACAGATCAAGCATTAACTCGATTATAAGTAGTTTTTTTGTTAAAAATAATTCTTGCAATATATTGCAATACATATCGCAATACATGCTTTCGCATCGCAATATATCACAATACGAAAATTCCCGGCAATACCCACCCCTAACAATGAGTCATTTGAACCCGAGCTCATCAGGTTCTGGAACGACCAAGTTGCTATCCATACAATTGTATTTAACTGCAGTCATAGCAGGCAACACTGTCTCCTATCTCAGTAGGATTTGTCCTTAATCTGCGATGACTCAATGAGTCAATGGTGAAAAATAACAGTATTTTGTTCAGCTATAAAAATAGAGTCAGTCGATTACTGAGAAATATGATAACATAAAACAGCACTCCAGTGCATCTCATAATATTTGATGGGTATCTAAATCGGAAGCATTATGAGAGCTAGTAAAGGCAATACGAGCCACTTCTTGTCATTCGTGTCTCGATCTCCGCCAATAGCTTCCAATCTTCATTCAGAACAGACACTGTGTTATACATCTTCCACATGCAAGGTAAGTATGGCATGTTCCCTGATCAAATAAAGCTCTTGTTTCAGGGATGAGTCAATGAAAGGGGTTAGGTGACCTATCGAAAGTGTTGACAGGTTTTGTCGGCAGCTAAATCGCAGTATGACCTATATTTTGTTGATAGTTACGTAAATACTAAAAGTGTTTGGAAGGTTGTCAAGGCAAGATCAGTTTTACACAGGCTTTTTATCCTTTAACATATGTTTTACAACCTCCAGATGTGTTGTTTTACATTAACTACCAAAGCCAATTTTATTGGTTATGCATCTCAATCAATGTTCTTGAAATCATGCCTCTTCTATATTTTTAATGTTGTTGTTTGGGGTGTTGTTTTTTGTTTTGTTTTGTTTTGTCTTGTTTGTTAATGTGTGTGTGTGTGTGTTGGGGGTGGGGACACTGTGTGTGGCTGTGCTGTTGTGCATAGCTGTGTGTAGATGGTACCAAGCAATATATTTTTATAGCTAAAGCTTGAAAACCAGGTATATTTTCAATCTTAACTATGACCCTTGGTATATGTTTTATCAATAACAAATTTTTGCAGCTGTTTTCACAATCTTTTCTTACAAGCACTTTTTGGGTAAATTAAATAAGAAATTAAATTCCTGGATCAGTATCCAGTGGCTCAGCAAAATAATACAACAATAAATAGAAAAATCTAGAAAAGAAAAATCAAAACACTTGCAAATTAATGCAGATTGTTCTCATGAAAGAATAATATCTAATCAAGATAAATCAAAAGGTCACGAGCTGCACAGATCATTAATTCCCGACAAGAGGCCATTAGGAAGTGATCTCCGATCATTATCAAAGACATTGAGCATCAAACATTTATTGAATTTACCTGACCCAGTGCCCTGTGTCTTAAGTCCTTCATTAGCATCCGGACCCAAACCAATGTTTGTTGATTAAGGATAGGGAGTGACATTAATGTTTCACATATTATCCAGTAACACCATCTCACATGCAAAATAGATAGAAATGGGTTCTTGCTATTCACATGAGCATCATTGGAACTTATCATTCTATATGTGAAAGAACTGGGTCTTAGAGCAATGTTCATGGAGAGCTTGAGGATCAAGGATAACAAAGTTACTCCAATGTGTTTTTTATCCTGTTCATCTGTTTGCAAGAAAAATTCTTCATTCTTCTTATCATTCCACTACTTTTATTAATATTTTATCAATTCCCCACAAAAAAATATTTAATGTTATTTAAATATGTAAGTCATATTTTAACAATATTTCAAGTATGTTGAATTTTACATAATACTCTTTCAGTTGACATATTCCATAAATAACAACTTCATACTTGAAAACAAGGATAAGTTGAGCACCGACCTGACAATTGACCCATATTAGCATGTATGAGTGCTGCCCACTGGCGCTTGCCATTGTTAGCGAAGGGGCCCAGGTTGTCTGTGATCAAGTGTAGTGAGACATGCTACACCGATGTGAGAATCTTATGAGCAAGGCGTTTGCAGCTTCACGTAGAATCAATTTCATCATCATGCAATGCATGTGCACTAGTCTACATCTGCTCTACCTTTCACAAACCAAATGGGTTTGCTCATTGCTGTGCACCGCCTACTGCTCCTAAACGTGTTCTCTGCGCCAACGTATCCTTGTTTGCCAGTAGCTTAGCATGTCAATCACTTTCTGCACAAAACAACAGTTTTGTTTCCTATATACTGTGACAAATATTAGATCATAATAAGAATGTCATGCATTGTTTTTTAAAAGACTAGTTCCCAGCATCTATGGGCTGCAAGACCTTAATCACATGAAAAAACATATTCTTTTCCTGATCCATTGGAATGAATCTATATTTATCCAATCCCTGTGCTGGGAATGACCTTTTCTGTACGACCTGTGAAGGTACGGGTTAGAATGAACCTTCAGTAACCCATGCCTGTCGTAAGAGGTGACTAACGGGATCGGGTGGTCAGGCTCGCTGGCTTGGTTGAAACATGTCATCGGTTCCCAATTGCACAGATCGATGCTCATGCTGTTGATCACTGGATTGTCTGGTCCAGACTCGATTATTTACAGACCGCCACCATATAGATGGAATATTGCTGAGTGGGGCGTAAAACTAAACTCATTCACTCACCTTTTCTGTACAACCACCAATGAGTAAATGAGTTATGTAAAGTTACAATTAAAAGTATTACAGCTATATCTGTATATCTGGTGACTTGTTGTTGTCAAATCATGAAAAAAAGAGTGGTGTCAACAAAGCACATCAACTCATGACCAGGCAGTTTATACTGGCAACAAACCTACTCTGCAGTTCATACTGGTAATGGACCTACTCTGCACACACTGCTAAATGTAGCTAATTTAAATCACCTGACTAACGACCCTTACCCACATTCTAACCATGTGACCAAAACCCACTGATAATAAAAAACATATTCCAGAACATCGCATGTTAGAAGGGGAAAATATACACAAAAATTCTTCATAAACAAAAATCTACATTAAATGTCATTTTTCTATATGTGGCTTTCCAAAAATGAAACATGATATAATTTTTCACATCCATATACATGTATACTTCGTTTAGACTCACTTAAAACACTCACTATATGTTATGTATATATATATGGTTACATCGAAGATTGATTTCTCCACTAACTTGGTGGAACCAACTGCAGACCTTATGCAGATGTATTGCACGGGGATCATGCATCAAATTGCTGAAAAACATGTGCATATATTGTGCATGTGAACAGGTTTGTTCTGGTGTAAAGTTTTGTTAAGAATTCACCAATTTTCACTGATTTTTATCATTTACTGAACTCATGACAATAATCTTTTCAACGTTACGACTTTGTTTTACAATACATCAGTTCATGTGTAAACAGTACCTGTAAACAGTATGGAACATTTGGCAAAATTTAGTTTAGAACAGTTGCCTGAAGTAAGTGCCTATATTTACACTAGTGAGTCTAAACTTTTGAAACGAAGTATATAAGACGATGGCACTTTAAAGACAACTCCCACGCCCTTACACAGCGACGCATCAGAAAGAACAGAAAAAGAGAACACAGACCTACATTCATTCCATCAGAAACACAAGACCATCCCTTTCCTCAATAATTGAGTTGAAAATCCCCAGGGTCTGTAGTCCTGCCAATGTGGTAATTTAATTAGACCAGCTACGAGCACATCATTCTAAAACAAGGCATCTTGTGTGGACAAAACATTGGATTTCCCATTGGACTTCTGGTAATTTTGAAAAACAGAAAACTGTTTTCTTCCAAACATGTTTTCAGTGGAA